CGCTAAAAATCGTGCATGCTGAGAGCGACATGGTTTTTGTGTGTTTTCTCCATGGCTTTTCTCCATATTTCTCTCTTTTTTAAAGGTTTTTCTTTAATATTGAACATGTTTATAAATTCATGTATATTTTTCACACTGTGTGAATTTCTTAAAATTTATGAATATTTTAATTCTTGAAAACATTTAAAAGTTGTGAACGTTTTGTCAAAGTTCATGAAAAAATGTTAAAGGATGAAGATTTTTTAAATATCTGAACATTTATAAATTTATGTACATTTTAAAATTTTGTAAACATTCCCTCACTTTTTTTGTATTTTATAAAAGTGAGTGATATATTTTAAAGTTCATGAACATATTTTGAAACTGAGAAACCAATTTAGAATGTGTGATCTTTTTTTGCTGCAATACATTTTTAAATTTGTAAAAAAAAACTAGCACCCGCTTTCTTCTAAGCCTGGCGCTACCGGCTTTTCCCCTAGGGAGCGTTTTCGTTTTCAATAACTAACAAAATGGATGATGCACATGCGCAGGCTACATCTTTAGTTATCTATCACTATTTACACTACTTTAGAAATTATACTTCTTCCATTCTAAAAGACAAGATGCATTAATTTGTTAAAAAGCTAAGCTTCCCAAAGCTTGAGTAAGTTTGAACGAAAAAGATTAGCATGGATGCATTACTAATCAAGATTGCCTACGCTATAGAAGTTATAGAGATTTCCTGAGTTGGTATATTTTTATGCATTCATTATTATAATGATTATTTCAGATATTCGGAATATGTCTTACATATCTTCTCATGAAAATATATTTTAAGAGGTATTGTATGTGCCGTCGAAATATATATACAAATTTTGTTCCAACACTTTGTGAGAATCGAATACAATGGACTACCCGCACGGTAAATAGACAAATTTTAAATAATGTGCAATTACAGTTTGAATATATTGATTACTAATAGATACCAAAATATTAACTTGCAAAAATTTTGAGAAAAAAATCTGTATTAGGTAGGTTGAAAATAATATCATTGGGTCTTCCATGAAAATTATTTGCAGTACTTAATTTTGGTTAAGTTTTAATAAGATATGGCGATGAAAACAACCAGTCAAAGATGCATATAGGAGAATTAGCGAATATCGAAAACATCATCTATTTACAGTATGAATGGAGTATATAACTTTTTGACAAATGTAAATGTTAATAGGATTTGGACACATAAATTTAATCATGCCGACTCATACCAGTAAATTAAATTATAGTTGTTTCCAATCTTTATATTACTTTCTTGATTGCAACAAATGCAATTAAGTTACAATTACTTAATTTGTATAATCGACCTTAGCCAATGTGTATATGTGAACTCACTAGTTTAATCGGCCTTGTATTAATCCATGGCTTCAATTTTGTGAGTGACCTTATTATTCACTTCAATCTGAAAAATAGTATGCGAATCAATATATAGCTTTTCACCTTTAAATTATTGGTGTACTTTCATCTATGCTCCATTTCTTATTTAGTAATGGCTAAATTATTGTGTCATTATATACAAATATATAGTTTCTCGCAACTAAAATTGCCCATCTCACATCACAGTAATAACTTTCTACTTTTCGAGGTACTTAGTTCTCAAGTGTTAGAAGAGCAACTTAGCTACCTTCGTTTTTCTCATATTATCGTGTGGTTGCGACTCTATTCATCATATAAAGACAATAGAAAATAGATTATAAACACTTCACATGTTGTTAATTGGAAAGACAAAGGACAGCATACAAAAGAAAGCTGCATGTGAGATTTGTAAGGCCCAGCCTAGATTCAACTAAAGAAATTAAAAAAATACCCCCTCTGTACATCAATATAAAATGTTTCAAATCATTGGTTACTTTAGTGATCTAAAACATCTTATATTAGTTTATAGAGGAAGTAAAATTCATACTAACTATTAATTTTTGTATTGTCAAATAGCCATTAATTGCAAATAATACGTGTGACAGTCTTTTCCTATTGATTCCTCACATGCATACGCAAACCGATTGTCCAATCGATCACTCAAGCATGCTTACTGGCCATAAGGCCGAGCATGGTTCGAGTGATTTTGTTTTTCGGCTTGGTTCATTTGTTTCTTTCTTGTACAAGTCTCCTTTTCTTTGGCGGCTAAACAAACGGCTACAATGGAGAATAATACATTCGATACAAGCAGCAGATTAAAATTTGGGGAGTGAATCTTCTTCCCCAAGAAATAATTAAAGCAATTGAATACCCCCTGCATCCGGAATTACTTGTGGCAGACATGGATAAAAATGATGTATCTGGAACTAAAACACGTCTAGATACGTCTATTTCACTCACAAGTAATTCCGGACGTACAGAGGGAATATTTCCTGTCTCCTGCTCTGTTTTTAGGTAATTTTTAGACCGATTAGGGTTTGTATCCTGCTCAGAAAGGCAAGACGGCAACGGGTCCCTCAAGATTGAATAAGGTTCTCCCCGCCTATCCCCTATCTCGGTTGTGCGTCTAGCATTGTTCAAGGTAGTGTGGAGGTGTGCCTCCGGTGGATCTCGTGGGATTCAGTTGGTTTTGGCATTCGGTGGATCTCCGTCGACCCATTTTTCGTTCATCCGTATTCGTGTATCTACAGGATGTATCCTTTTGATCCACACTACTGTTCATCAGTGACGGTTGTTGTCATAGTGCGTTGGTCTGTGGGGTCTTAGCACGGCAACTTCCAGAATGTCTACTACAACATGGTTGGCCCGGCTCTGGTCTACGAGGGTCGATGTTGGCGGCGTGCCCTCTGCTCGCTCCAGTGATTGTAATCATCGAAGGTGGTGTACGGGTTTAGATGCAATTTCTATTATTTTTTAGCTAGTGTTCTTTGTACATGCATGTCAATTGATGAATATATTTAAAGTTTTTTCGAAAAAGAAGTCTTTTGCTTTTACGTGGAAGAGATTCCTAGTGTCCTACTGAAAATAAATATACCACTCCCTCTGTCCCACAATGTAAGAGGTTTTTGCAAGATTTTTTAACTTACGAAAATGTCTTATATTATGGGAGGATGGGAGTACATGTTTTTAGAGTTTCAGCGGACCAGATTAGATCTGTGCGCTCATATTACTTCCCTTTTTTTTCACATGAGGTCTTATGTCTTCATAGTTTCCAGGCTTGTCCGTTATCTGATAGGGTCCACTTGATAGATCGGTGCAAATTACATAAATAGTAACTTCGCTTTATCAGTCCAACAAATAAAGGGTTGGATATTCTGTTTTTTTCTGAGAATTTCTAGCAGATCTTTTTCCCCTTCGTATTAGAGTCCCTCTGTTCACAAATATAAGATGTTTCGCGTTTTCAATAGACTACATACGGACTAAAATGAGTGAACAAAAACAATAAAACATGTCTATATAAATTTGAATCCAAAAAAGTTAGAACATCTTATATTTGTGGACGGAGGGAGTACATTTTAATATATAATTTAGATAGATAAATTATGATGATCCAATGGACATTGTTTGTTTAGGCATGATTAAATAAATTTAACAATGTAATATATTTAGATGTAGTTTTGTAGATCTACTAGATATGATTTCGTTCGGTGACAAATTTTCCCTACTACCGGGTGTAGTTACTCCCACTTTTGTTTCATACGTTCTATGTAGTATCTATCATATCGGAGAGTATATACGCGTAGTATGTAGTATATAAGAATATTTAGGTAGTATATATACTACTTTTTTGGTAGTATGTATCATATTTTGCGCATACTTTATTTCACGTACAAATATGTATGTATTTCACAAATACAATAAAATTATGAGCTCCCTTGCCATTTTTTCATATAAATCACTTGGGAGTATCTTAGATATAGTATATGAACATACTAAAAATAATAAAGTAGAGTATATACTATCACATGATAGTATATAAGAAATGGGTGTAGCTACACCCAGTAGTAGGATGCATTTTCCCTAT